CCCCAAAACCCCAAAACCCCAAAACCCCAATCCCCAAAACCCCAAAACCCCAAAACCCCGTCTTAACTGAGGTTACTTGAAAATTATTAAGCTAAGTTATTGTCAGAATCTATATTGTCACTCTCCTCCTCTATCTTGTCCTCCCTGCTACAGAAGCGGGGGTTGGCCATTAGCTTGCTTCTAGACACCATAATGCACATTTGAGGCTAGATATAGAGAAAATAGCTTACTTTTGAAGTCTCTTCTAAGAAAGTTTTTTTCAATGGCACTGCTGTGTTGATCTCCTGTCTCAGTTGATGATAATCCAGTATGTTAGGGGGGATCAGTTTTGACTAAAATGTTATGCACAAAGCCTTACATTTGAGTCAGCTATCAAATTTCGCTGAGGAGACAAGCTTTTCTTTGTATAAGGGTGCTTTTTAATCGGCTCTTGCTGCTGCCTCTTAGCAACTTTATTTCCTATTTCCAATATGAATCCTTCTGGATTTGTTTCTTGTCTTTGATGCTCTTGATGGAAGCCTATCTCCTCATCTAAAATGGGAGGTGATTGGCCTCCGCTTTCCCGTTTCCGCATGGGTTTCTCCAGGTTCTATTTTATTTTCCAAAAATTTTGCGCCTGCCATGCCTGTTCTTCTGAAATCCTCTCTGGTAGATAGTCTTGCATCATTGACTCCACCAAAGTTGTAATGCCTAGCTCCAGCATTGAAATCATAAAATAGCAAATTTTGGGATTCGATCGGATTAGTTTTCATATCTTCCTGTTCGATTTTGTGTTGGTTTATTTCTATCCTGATTTGTTGCCCCAATATCTTATTATACTTCTGAGCCCGAGGCGGGATAATCTCCTCACCCTGGTTTTCAATTATTCCAGTTTTCACCCTGAAACCATTGTTATAAGTCTTGCTCGGAATTTGATTTGTTGTGAACGGGATACTTTTTGCATTCTTTTGAGAGGAATTTTCAGCTATTTAGATATTCTAAGACCAGGTTTAATACCAAATGACCCGACTGAAATCACTTACATAACTTTGGTAGTTGTCTGGCCTTCCTATTTACCTTGACAAATTTCTGTTTAGCACCGTAATATGGGTAACTATCAGTGGTACCAATTCTGTAATGATGATTATTATGGCTTTGCTGCCTCTTTGATTGCCTTGAACCAAGGTCTTTCCACTTTTTCCCATTATTATCATACAAAGTGAGTCTCTTCTTGGGGTTGAACTGCATATGTGTACCATACATATATCCGTTGTTATAGCTTCCTTTATTTGCCTATTGTAACATGAAAGGTTAACCAGCAGATTCAATATTCTGATGATCAAATTTCAACGATGCTACTTGATGGATAGCCCATTCAAATTAACTCAAATTTTATTTTAGTTTGGAATTGATTTAGTCTTATAAGCAAAGAGATTTGAGTGAAGGATTCAACAGCTCTAAGCTAGTATTCATCAATAAGAAAGATGTTCATCTGTTTAGAGAGAAATATGAAAGCTTACCCTTTGAGCCACTGTGAGATATCTCTAATCTTTCCTTTGTACCGCTTCGAATTCCTTGTTCTACTAGAACCAATGGTTTATTTCTTCTCTTGAGGGAAATACGCAGATGCTCATTTATATTGTCCTCGTGTTCTCCTACCAACTCTTTAGAATTTTGTGACTGAGCTTGATGATTATTCTTACGATTGGAGTTGTTTATTCCCCGAATAAACTTGCTCTTCTGCTGACCAGATGGATATGGCTCAATCCTGGCATGGGAAGGTGGGTCTCCGTAGCTTGAATGCTCTCCTTGTGCATATGGACTTGAATTTGTTTGCTTATCTCCGACCATTTCAAATTATCAAAATATTCTTTATAACTATTATTCCATTTTACTTTATGTTTGGGGTTTTGGGGTTTTGGGGTTTTGGGGTTTTGGGG